TAACGCCCTCACGGCTGAAAAGGCGAGCATGTTGGGTGGAACGGGGATTCGAACCCGCGACCCACAGATTGCGAGTCGAGCTCCCTAACCACCTGGCCATGCCGGGCCCTGTCAGAAGTAAACAATGTATAGGGTGTTGACGTAAACTCGTATGTTCCCATCAGTTTGATCAATTTCTTTGTTTGATTTTGATGACCATGAGTCTCCCAAAGAGAGCCCTTGTTTCTTTTAGATCTCCCATGCACTTTTGAGTGCTTGAGTCATGCGTGCCAGTGTATGTGTGATGCTTGAGGTTTGCTTTCTTTACATGAGCCCAAAGCCTTACTTACAAATTTGCCATCCACAAAAAACTTTCCACATATCTGAAGCAATCATTTCCAAAGCATGCACGTCAATTAGGTATCTAGGCCACAGTTTCTTGTATTTGAGGCATTCAATAGCAAAGAAAACTTTAGCAAGTTGTTCACCAGACTGTAGATGCAGATGCCAGTTTTTCAGTCTTGGTGCCTTCACAAATTGCAGAAGTCTGTCAGTCTGACCCATGTATTTTACTTTTGATTTAAACATGGTATTTTCATCTGATCTTGCTGTGATTAACTCATTCAACTTTTGGACAACTTCATTGTCGCTAAGGTCATTTTTAATTTCTGAATGGGCTGGCTTTGTTTTTTCGTGGCATACTTCAGGAGACTTTTCTTGACGGGCTTTCTCCACAGCTTTAGCAACTACCTCACATGGCTCTCTCCGCTCTTGGTGTTTATTCAGAAAGTTATCAAACAGCAATTCAAAGAGGACCATGTAGGTGTGGGTGCGTGCACTCATGACTCTTTTGTAGTGGGTATAGTTCAAAATTTGTGTTGTTGTAGCTGGACCATATAGTTCTGACTCTATGCAAGCATCATCTAAGCCAGAGTTTTCAGTTGACGACCCAATGGCCCTTAATGCTGCCATTGTAACGTTTAGCTCCCCAAGCCATAAGAAGAGCTTATCTTTCATATCTGGCCTAGTGTCTATCAATTGTACAGCTTTCTCATATAGAGCCGTATCAAGGGTGGTGACAGTCTTGTGATCGCCCAGAACTGCCTTGTTGATCTGTTGTGCATTCTTCAAAACAGTTAGTTAAAGAATCTACAGAAAATATTTATTGGCACCTGTATGAAAAAATGATGACGTCAGCAAACATAGTGTTACGTATCTGCTTGTTTGTTTGTTTCTGGTAGAAATTCTTCCCGAGGATCTTCAGCGATACAAGTCCTTTCTTAATTAAACCAGTTTATTCTTTCTCGATACAAACTTTTAGTACACAGTAGTTCCACAATCAGTACGTTTCTCGTCATTTTAAGCCTAACAACTTTTATAATACACGCTATAAATCACAGCGATTCACAATCTCGCTACTTCGCTCTCGACGAGTACAAAACACACACTTTACGGCTCACTAGCTCGAAACTAACAGAATTATAAATTACACGGAATTCAAAGTAACTATTGCTCTCTCTTCATTCATCTATTCCCCGCCCCGCTGGCTTTCCTCAGCCAGGCTTATATACTAATAAAGAGGGCATCTCCAACACACTCGGAGTTCTCCGATCATTCGAGAAACTCATCACGCGCGCCAGCAGCGTCACGTGACTTCCGCTGTCGTAACAATAGATAAAAGATGAAAAAACATGGAAATATGCGGTTTTTTTTTAGTTTTTTTCAGTTGTGGCCTTATGTGACAGTAAATAACCTGTAAACATAAAATTAAAAAGATGTAATTACAACAGGCTGAAAATCCGGTTTTCCGACAAACATGACGCTTATATATATATATGATATGTTTATGGAATGGAAACAATTATCAATCAAAATGACACAAAATGAGGATAAATAATGTTTTCAACGTGTTTTCTGTTTGGGATTTTCCTTCACTTTTATACAGGTATTGAAAGGATATTACGTGTGTGATTCTCGAGATTTGTAAATAAAATGCTCTAAAAATAACAACTTCTTGGAAAACTGAAGACATTAATGACTGAATTAAAGGTTGAAATTAGGTCACTTATGTAACAGTTTTTTAGTAAATGAATTACAAAAACGCTACTTTCTAAACATGAAATTCAGTTACTGCATAAAAATTATGTGGTTAAAGTGTTCAATCTTTTGTACATAGTTACTTTGCTTCATATCTGAGTGATTAATCTGTTTTGATTTTAGTTTTACAATGTAATATTTTTTAAATGATTTTTTAATGTAAACATGCAATTTTGTCGTAATTTTATGATATCATAAAATAAAAACAGTACGTAAGTAGACTCAAATCTAAAAGGTTATCAATTTCAATTATGTTTATAATTTACTCTTAAATTAATAAAGCTCTTTAAGTAATACATTTTTTGTAAGAGAGATGAACTAAAAATTGCCCATAGAAAATGCATTGAGGCTTAG